CGCGGTCGCTCGGGCAGACGGTCGTTCGCCGACTGTGTTTACCAAGCTCATGTGTGTCCGGCGGAAGACGAAAGCGCGGACACAAGAAGGAGGCGAAAGATCGTTGTTGCGGAAAAAAGAAGAAGACGTTGCCTCGAGAGTCGGCGCGGTACTAAATGCCAACAGGCAGTCGTCGATGTTCCAGGGTCGCTAGTTACCTGGCGCCAAGGGGACACGGTGGCTCCTCCTACCGTGCCCTGAACGTTGGACACGCCGGTTGGCGGCTCGACTTCCACAGGGGCGGAGCTTCCGGGTCAGGGTGACCCCCCCAGGCGTCGCGACGCTCATCCACCCGAGAAGCTCCACCGAGCTTCTAAGCTTTGGAAGCTTGGCGGAGGAGCCGGCTTACCGGGAACCAGATTCGCGCTGCCGGTCCCCGGGCTTCGGGACGTTATTCCACCGACTTTAATTGATCGCCAATATAATTAACGGTACAAAGGTGTACGCGTGCCTTTGCCGACGATGCTCCCATGTTTTATAAGTTCGACGATACTGTTTGCAATCGAGTGGACCACTCGGGAAAGGGAATTCAATTTGAGGGGTTGTTTTTTAAATGGAATGCTTTCGAATTTCATTTGCTCGATGATGTTTCGATGATCGTTATTCTTTTTTACTGGAAATTGTATGGGGAAAATTTTTACTGTAAGGGGCGTATGTTGAGATGTACAGGGTGTATCAAAATATATGAATTTAGAGGAATATGTACTTGTAAATTAGATACGTTAATTTGGTTAAGGGTGAGATTTTACTCTTTTACACTTTTTTATGATTTTTATGACTGAAGTGTTCCTTCTATTAAAGACTAATAAACGGGTCTTTGAATAATGTGCTGTAATCCGTTTTTAAGGAATGACTGTAAAGAGTAAAAAAGTAATCCTATTACTCTTCTTAGTACAAAATGGCGGATTGTCAATTAAAAAAAACAGTCACTCAGAATGAAAAGAAGATTATAAGTTATTTAATATAATATTCAAAATAAATATACATTTATTATTTCAACTGTGATAAATTATATAACACAAGAATATTAGAATTTTCCACAATGTTATTTATTTTAATAACAAAACTATTACGAACGCATCGATTTTCACTCTCTGCATCGAAAACTTGTGAACAAACTTATCAACAATTTTGCATACATTATCTATTGGTCGCAACAATTTGTTAAAATACTGAAAAATATCGAGCAGGAAAGTTTCAACGAAAAACACTGTGCGTGATTGAAAGAGAAATTACATTCTCGTGCTTTCATAATTTTACACGTATCGATACATTGTTTTTATAACATCGTTGTGTTTACTTCTGACGTAATAAAAAAGAATGAAGGTGATTTTAATCGAATTGAAACTTTTATCAAAGTTTATTTATAACATTTATTCTTATTTTTTTACATTTATTTATTAGTGTTAAAATATATAATTATACATTCTTTAGAACATATAATTTTTGACATCAAAATTTATTGTAAACTTTTACTGTACACTTATGAACAGCTGTGTCTTGAATTTTAATCGATCGATATAAATTTGCGAATATTGATATTGGTCGAATAAGAAACGAAAGCCGACAACTAACGCGTCATATCGTAGGCGGTATACTGTTATCGATAAGAATACGTGGTAAACCGGCTTATCGATTTATGACCGTGCAGACAGCGTGACACCGACATACAAACTCGTGGTACATATTCGCGAGATTAGAATAAACCTTTGATGTTCACTGCTTGCACTTTGGATGTTCCTTTAACTTCATCTTTGTCAGGTCCGAAATAGTTGCAAAAAATTTTCAATATTCTGGAATTCAAAAGTTTCAAATTCCTAAAATTCTAAACTTATAGCGTTCCGAAGACTGGGAGTTCCAAATTTGTATAGTTTGGAAACTCTAAAGTTCCAAAGTCTTAAAAGTAAAAAATTTTCAAATCCCAACTTCTCAAAATTTCAAAATTCTGGAGTTCCAAAGTCTTCAGCTTCTCAACCTCGACAATCCAGAAAATTTGAAGTCCCAGAATCCCACAGGTCCAAAATTCTCAAATCCCAGAGTTCCAAGATACCAAAATCTCAAAATCCAAAAATTCCAAAATCCCAAAATTCTAAAGTCCCAAAATCCGAAAATTCCAAAATCACTAAATCCCAAAATACCAAAACTTCAAAATCCCAAAATCCGAAAATTCCAAAATCCCTAAATCCCAAAATACCAAAATTCCAAAATCCCTAAATCCCAAAATACCAAAACTCCAAAATCCCAAAATACCAAAACTTCAAAATTCCAAAATCCCAAAATTCCAAAATCCCTAAATCCCAAAATACCAAAATCCCAAAATCCCTAAATCCCAAAATCTCTAAATCCCAAAATCCCAAAATCCCTAAATCCCAAAATCCCAAAACTCCAAAATCCCTAAATCCCAAAATACCAAAACTTCAAAATCCCTAAATCCCAAAAACCCAAAATTCATCATAACTCTAATAATCCATGCATGCACCTAATCCACCATATATTTTCACATAAATGTTCTTAAAAAAAGTTTCCCATTGAATCCAGAAGAAGACACAGCAGAGAGCAGAAGATGGACAAAGAATACTTGGGAACTTGGCTGTCGTATAATTTCGCAAAATGTTTAGCATACAAAGACAAATATAATGGTCGCCGAGATGAGGTTGCGACGAGATCACGGGCCTCGGGCAGGGATGGTTAATTCAGTTTCAAGCTCCATCAGCCAGACACATCCCCTTGCTTGCCTCCATAGTCCCTTGCTGGCTCTTCTCATCCCCTCAACGTCTTTGTACATCGCCGTCACTACTTTTATCTCCTTTTTCTTATCAATTTTTCCATATATTCTTCATCTACGGACAAACACATTAATTTCGTACAAACATAATTAAGGTTTTTAACCATTACTGATGCAATTTACATTCAGTTATTTGTAAGGTAGATTCTCGTTAACGGTAGATTCTTAGTATGGTCATAAAAATTGTATAGTGTGATTTTATAATTACTGATAAGATAGTGGAGTATTAAGGTTTTGAAGAGTTTTTAGTATTTTGAAGTTTGGAATGAAAATTATTTATCGAAACGAGTCGGATTCGTTCACTCTCGTCTTGTTGTATAAAATTTAATACTAACATTGAAGTTATGAAGCTTAATATTAAATATTGAAGTTATGAAGCTTAATATTAAACATTAAAGTTATGAAGCTTAATATTAAACATTGAAGTTATGAAGCTTAATATTAAACATTGAAGTTATGAAGCTTAATATTAAACATTGAAGTTATGAAATTTAATATTAAACATTGAAGTATAATAATATAAAGTTTAATACTAGATATTCAAGTTCAACATTAAACATTGTAACATAACATAAATCACATCAACTTTCACATCGACATTAATATTTCTTCCTTTTCATCAAACTCTCTCTTTTATCTTCCACTTAAACCTTCCCTAAACCTAACCTATTTCTCTCTCTATACTTGAATTTCCCGCCAAGAATTTCCAAAACAAAATAGCCTACAACATCCAATTTCTTTCAATACATTATAATTATTAAAAGAGTTCCTTTCCTGATTTGGATACGAATTTAGCGTTTTCGCTTCCTGCAGAAGCAAGATAACGTTAAGCAACGGTTCCGATAATGATAAGCACACGGCTGCAATCGCGATGTTTACTCGTATAATCGAAGACAGACATTTAATGTTGCAAATTCTGATTGGCTATAAGATACAGGACGGGCCGATACATGTTCTGTATACACTCGATAAAATTATAATCTTCTATTTTTGAACTTCAAATAAAACAGACAGGCTGTCGCGCACGTTTAAGCTTCGTTTAATTTATCTTTGAGTACGGTGAATATTATCTGGACATTTTGTTATTAAGAATATTTTTAAGACACTTTACTATTAAGAATATTTTTCAGATACTTTTCTATTAAGAATATTACTAAGACATTTTATTATTAGAAATATTATTGGGACATTTTATTATGAAAAATACTATTAAGACAGATATTCAATATTCTTATATATTTTTACATTTTTTAAAAACAATTTTTTTATATTTTTTCCAAACTCCGTCTTTTATTTAAAATGCATAAAGTGTCTAAATATCTCAATTTTGAACAAATAAGTTAGCATATCTTCATCAAGATCCACTCTGTTCAATCCATACGTATAAATATAATATTTAATATGTGTACCCATAAAAATTTATGAAGTTGCAAAAGCGTAAATAAGATATAAAAAGAAAAAAAGTCCATCGAAAGGCAGCAGACAGCGTGACTCCATAGACACATGGTCTTGGTTCTTTTCTTCTTCTTGGTTGCAGCTCTTCAGCTCGAGGCACTCGAATATCCACGCCAAGGGATGACAGGCTGTTTGTAATATAACTTTCGAAGCTAATCACCGACTTCACGGTAGACTGAAAACTTTATCTCGAACGACCTCTTGTCGATCCCCAATTACAGTTGCAGACGTTTTTTCTTTCTTCTGAATTTCTTTTTTAACGAAGTGCAGGAATGTCACCCTGTGGAAGCGTATATTTGTGTCAGTGTTGTGGGAAAATTTGGTGGGACACCCTAAA